GCAAACAAATCTCTACCAATTTCTTCATCTTGAAAAGGATATTTTCCTCTCTTCCCTCAGTTCCAGGGGTTATTGGCTGTCTGCAAGCGCTAGAGACGATTAAACTCGCAAGCATGGTGGGCGAACCACTCTCTGAACGGATGCTTCTTTTTGATGCTTTGTCAGCAAGAGTCCGCGTTGTAAAGTTTCTCATCCCCTTTCTGTTATTGATTACATACACTCAATTTGTCAGCAAGAGCATGGTTTTTGCGCAGGTCAAGATCAGAGGCAGATCAGCCCAGTGTGTAGTTTGTGGAGACAATTCATCTTTCAAGAAGCAGCAGTTTAAGAATTTTGACTATGAGGACTTCACCCAATTTCCTTTAACTGCGGTATTGGTCTCTATTTTTCTCTTTTCTCGCACCCAATATTTGTTTTCAGCAACATTCTCATATATCTTTACATGCATCGGTTTGATCACAGGGCCCATTGAACCTACTTCCCACAGAATCGAGAATTAGCAGCAAGGAGTTCAAAGAAATCCTTCAAAAGAAGGAACGACATGTTCTTCTCGATGTTCGACCTTCTCATCACTATAAGATAGTCTCTCTCCCAGATTCACTCAACATCCCTCTTGCAAATTTAGAGGCTCGGATAAACGAGCTTACGTCAGCTGTGAAAGAAAAGGAAGATGGCCACGTTAACACTGGATCTTTCACAAATCCAAGCCTCTACGTTGTTTGCAGACGTGGGAATGATTCACAGATAGCTGTTCAATATCTCCGTGAATCGGGTTTCGATTCAGCAAAGGATATAATCGGAGGACTGGAGGCTTGGGCAACTGATGTCAACCCCAGCTTCCCCACCTACTAGATTGCACCAAATTGGTAAAATCCATAGCTCAAAATGTCTGAAGTAGAAATATGTATTGTAGCTATGTTCATGTAAGAACACCTTATCAAACCCTGTCTTATTCACAGGGTGAGAGTTTAGATGTTATGATACAATGCAGTTTTTGTTTAGAACGTATGAAACAAAGAGTGAATGATTCAGTTTTCATAGATGATAATAAAAATGTTGTAATATTCAGTGTACGATACACATGGCTAAGAAGGGAAAAAGATAAGTTTTTATTGACGAAACAAATAGACCCACGAACTGTAAAAATCAATCATGAGAAGCAAAAGGAAGGTTCATAGTTGCCTTAAGTAAATGAAAAGTCTAAAATCCTTTGGCAGATTGGTTTTTGAGGAAAGGTAAGGAAGAGATCAAAAGAGTTGATTGCTTCAATTACTTCTTCTGGCTCTCGTTGTGATTCTCTTGATCCGCTTCTGCCTCTTGCTCGTTAAACCTACGCTTGAACTTGGCAATCTGACCAATACTTTGAGCCATTTGACGCTTAGCTCCAAAGTGATAGACTTTACCAACATGTTGGATTCTTGTCATCATGACGTGCATCAATCTACCGCTCTGTGTTACATAAGAGATCCATTGCATCTGTGGGTGCACTCCTTTCTTCATTGTCAAACAACTCTACAAAACCAAAGACAAACATTCCTTCTTCAGATTTTGTTTAAATCAAGCCTCTAAAACATTCGATGAATCTCTAAATGAACAAAGCAATATATGAGCATATATCAATGATTCATGAACCAAGCAATGTCGCCTATGTAAAAGATCTAGAAATGTAATTTAAAAGTGTTAGCAAAGGATAATCCCATAAACCAAATTTTGTATCACATAGCTATTCAGCTCAATCATGATTTTCCTAGCAAAATTGGCTTAACGAGGATTCGATATCTCTACATTGTAGCCACACACAAAAAAAGGAAAAGAATTTGGATACAAATCTCCATAGTGGTCAACTGCTGAGTTCTTATTGGCATTTCATCGAACACCTTCTATGCGTGTCCTTACTCGGTAAAACAGATGCACAAACTCTACGACTTTAAACACAACAGAACCCAGAAAACAGAGTTGGGGTTTTATATCGTCGAGATCAGTGGTCTGGCCTAAATCGAACGGGCCAAAAGAGAAAAAAAAACTTCTGGGAACCATTTAGAGCATGAAAAGCAACATTTGAAACCATAGCAGTCAAATGAAGACGAGGCGAAGTGATTCTAGAGAGAGAGTGTGGCGAAGAAGCGCTTACGCGAGTAAAGCTAAAAGCTTGAGAGATGTGGAATTGTGATTTGACCTTCGGAAGTTTCAGAGCTCCGGTGGTGATGGTAGAGGAAAGTGTCTGCTCCGATGGACCCGATTTGGGCCTTAAGCAAAAGAGGCCCCGAGACCCTCTTAACGGCTTAGAGAGTCCCAAATAATAAACAAACGAATATGAAAACGTAATTTATATTTTTAAATGTCATTTCTTTTGATGTCAAAAAAACAAAAACAAAAAGTCATTTCTTTTTAACGAAACTAGAGGCTGCACCGGGCTACGTCCGGTTTTTCATAATACTTTTTGTAAATATATTACTTCATATTTATAAAATGCATATCATAAAACGAAACTAAAATTATTAAAAATTAAAANTTATTCCATTTTTAAAGCCTAAAAATACTTTTAATGGTATTTTTGGATTATAAAACTTTTGGTGGTATGTTTGGAGACAAAACTTCACAATGTGGTATTTTTGAGAATTGCCA